CAGTGCAATCCCTGGTGGCGGGCCCTCTCACGCGCACTTTGGGCCCCCACAAGCTGCCGCTTTTGCGCTTTTCTCCTTGCTCTGCTCTGCTCGCGAACGCGACGCCAGCTCGTCGAGTGCCGACTCCTGTGCAATCAAACCAACGTCTCGCCCACCAACCAGCCAAGCTACCGGGGTTGCGTCGCTGATGGCCACCGAGACCATCCAGGTTCCGGCGCTGGCCATGCCCGCAGTGGCGGCCAGAGGCGGTGCCACCGGCGGCAGCAGCATCAGGGCGAGCTCGGGCCTGCCGCCGCCGCCGCGGAGGGGCCAGATCAAGGGGAAGATCCTCAAGGACGTCCTCGCTGCGGTGTCCGCCATGGCCGCGGGCCTCGTCAAGAACAACAACCGCGGCGACGGCGAGGAGGGTCTCCCGGCCTCCGATGACGCCGGCGACAAGTGAAACAACCGATGACGACGCCGGCCGCCATGGATGTCTCTCCGCGTTCTCCCTTCCGTCCGCCCGATGCGCTCGCTCCTCTGCTGCTATCACGTGCTCATTTTAGTGCACGCAGCAGAGAGGGCTGGCAGAGGGCCAAAATTTACTACGAAGCTCTTGTGATTCTCTCCGTATTTGTGGGTGTCTGTTCGTCTCGGATGGATCGGTTGCCATATTAGAGCACGCACCGGTCCATCCATGGTCTTGCTGGTTTGTGCTTCTTGTCCTCGCCCTGCTCTTTGGTTTGGTTTGGGTTGGGTTGGCTTCGGTTTCAGTGGCTGCTATCAGGAGTTTACTGCGGTTTTTAAGAAAGAACCTCCTGCGGTTGCTGGTTTGTCCTAAGTCTCTGTTGTTTGATTAGTGTAGTATTATGCAAGTTTGTGTAGTTTGCTGAGTGTTTGATTGTGTAAGGTTCAGGAGGGATCAGCGAGTATTATGGTCTGGTCCTTCCTCTTTGTGTTACCACTCTTGTCATGTTTGTAATTGTAACTCTGCTTTGCTATCATGTCAAATAAATTGAGCTTCTTGTGTGAAATACTGTTTGTGATTTGGAATTCCTGGCTCAGGGCTCACCCTTCCCCGGCAAGTTCCAAAGGTTATACAGCTTGGTGAATGGTGACGAAGTACCAAACTGAATGGCGGTGACGATGGTAACTTGACGAGATCCTATAAGGCTCCGTCGAGTCGAGCCCCTGCGCCGCCCCGGTGTTCCTAGCTTCCTCCGCCCCGGCGCCGGCGTCGCTACCAGTACCAGCCGTCGGCCGTCGCTGCCTCGCCTGAGCCGCTGCGTGCATCCTCCACGTGCAACGGTGGCCGGCCCTGTGTGGAAAAGGGCCGGTCTACAGGCCGCCCTGTGTGGAGTCTACTTCACCTCAACTATGAAACCGTCTGGAACTTTCCAAAACCATCTATTTTATTTCCGGACGGTACTAGTTTTGATAGCAATAACGGGTCAATCACGTAATCTGTGGGTTTGCTACATTCCGTTCCACCAGGATTTTTTTTTTATTTATTTTTCGTGAATCAGCGAAAAATCATATAAATCATAGAAATATCATAAAATGAAAATTCTAATTTTATTGACTACATGAGTAGATCTCCCGCCGGTATGCTTTAGTATAATTTTTTTAGCTTTAGATTAATTGAAAAATCTAATTTTTTACGTAATTAAGGAATTTATCTATAACTAAGTTATACATAGCAATGAGGTTTTTATTACAGTTCAAGCAGCAGGGCAATAATTAGCGTACCATATACGACACCAGTAGCAAAAGGCGTCAAGAACCACCAGGGGTAAAATAGGAGGTTTTGGAAAAGTTGCAGGCGCATGTATCGGTTTTATAGTTGAGGTGAAGTGGCCGCCATATATCACAATGTGGGATTAAGTAGACTTTTAGGCATGTGGAAAAACGGCAGCGCTAGGAGGTACTAGGGCCATTTTAGATTGAAAAGTTCTCTGATGAATTTTTCGTTTCACAGATTTGGGCGGTAAATATTGTCTAATTGTGGATCAACTGGGCTCAAAAGATTCATCTCGTGATTTCTAACTATTTTTATGCAATTAGTTATTTTTCAAACATACATTTAATGCTCTATACAAACGGTTAAAATTGATGTGATGAAGAAAATTTCCCAAAAAACTTGAAATTTTTTTTTCAAATCGCCTAGTAGTTTAATCACCAGCCAATCATGAGATGATTCCGTTCCACCAGCGGCCAGGCAGCGCATCCTCACGTTGACTTGCTACGAGTCTCCCGCCCGCTAGTCTACGCCGCCGGGAACTTGGGGATGAAGGACCTACCAAGCGACTCCGTAGCGGTGAAGGTTTCGGCAGACGGCAGGGCCTGAGGAGCGTACCGCATACGACACAGTACAGCAGGCATGCGGAACCAGCAGTGCTGTGCAGTGCAGCTGTGCAGGCGCAGCAGGCATCGGAGGTGTTCACAAATCTCAGCCCGTGTTTAGTTGCCAGGCCAAATTCCAAAAAAATGTTACAGTATCCATCACATCGAATTTTACGATACGTATATAGAGCATTAAATATAGACGAAAAAAAACTAATTGTACAGTTTGGTTAAAAAATCCCGAGAGGAACGTTTTGAGCCTAATTAGACCATGATTGAACACTAATTGCCAACTAAAAACGAAAATGCTACAGTAGCCCAAAATCCAAAATTCACCCAACTAAACACCACCTCACAATCACGCACGCGAAGCCAAATTAGGCATCAGAATGGCACGCCATTCCACCATTGACAGTTCTCTGGTTTTTTTCGTTTTCACAGATTTGGGCGAACAACACTTTGCTCAGAGTCACCGCGCGAGTCACCACGCGCTTGCGTGCCAGGCGGCGGCGAGTGCTGCTGGCCCCATGGGCCATGGCATTGGCGCGCTAGTCGCTGCCCACTTGAGAAAACGGCGGTTGGTCATCGGGATTCGGAGCCGGTCCAAGCAAAGCAAGCGCGGAATTTGGACCCGCCACACGTCCATCTGCACCCGCGGGTTTCACGCGACACTCCTGGAGCATGTCATGGTTTTGGCTAGGGTTTATCGGACAGTTAATAATATTTTTATCTTATAATAAATTAGCATTAGTCGAACTTATCAATTCAAAAACCATCAGCGAATAGGCCGTATATCCGAGGAAGCACGTCTCGGTAAGTGACGGTAAACAGAAGCAACACGGGAGTTCCAGCTACGATCGACGACCGTCTCCTGCTTTGCATTGCCTGTGCTGAACTGCTGATCCTCAACTTGCGTGTGCAACGTGCCACAGGTCGCGTTTGGATCTACCGTCTACGGCCAAGAGCCTTAAGAAATTTTACTGCCGCTGTCACGTGTTCTCACAACGAGCGTTGTGGCTGCGTTTCCTTGCGGTGAAACAGACGCACGCCATTCGTTTCAGTGCTGGGCGATGCACTCTATCAACATGCATGCGCATTCATGAGGTGACTGTGCTGTGCGTCGTGTATACGAGCATCTTCATCCTTACCGTGCATGTTCGTTCATCTGTACTGTGTTTTAACAAAATGTTATCGAAAAGGAAAAACAAAACAATCTGAGCCATAGAAATAATGCTGCCCTTTGGTTGTGGGTGTGGACACCTATATCTATCTATATGGGCTGCAAATAGACTGCCCGTTTGGCTGGCAAAATTTTGGCTGACAAACACTGTTCTGGTTAAATTGTTGTGAGAGAAAAATACAGTTCCAGCTAAAAAAAGAAGTCGAACAAGCTATGGGCTAAGCCGAACGGAGCGGCCTTTGGGGGCTACCATTCAAAGACAACGGTTACTAGTTGATTTGGGCCTGGACCGTTCCCCAACAAAAATATTTGGGCCTGGACCGTCATTGGTGGGCCGTTGATACCATTTTGAGCCCGTCGAGTTCGCTTGGGTCGTCGCCGCCCCGAGCTCATGACACGAGCGGCAGGAAGCAGTGGCTGGTGCGCCGTCCCGTCCTTGCGCTGCTGCTACGACAAGTCCGCCCAAGTGGGTCACTCGTCACGCCCATCTCATTCCGTCGCAGCGCCGTTGCGGACGCGGCCACGCAGGCTCAGGCGCAGGCAGGAGCTCGCCCTCCCCGCCTTGCCTTTGCGTGCTTCCACCTCACCAGTCACCGCCGCCGCCGCCGCCGCCGCCCCGCCGGCTCGGCCGCCGCGCCGCAGGCCCCTCCACCTACCCTCGGCGCCCGCCCGCCCGCCCGCCCTTCCTGGCCCAGCGCCCCTGCACGTCTGCCTGCCCCCTCCGCCGCCGCCGCCGGCGATCGCGGGCGGCCGCCCCAACGGGTGAGTCACAGAACTCCTCTCTGGATCGCTTGGGCCCTCGCCAGATCCGATCCGGCCGCGGGTGGCTGCCGGTTTCTATCCCGGGGCTGGGGCGCGCGGCTAGATCTTACTGCTTGGGGGGTAGTTGCCGTTCGCTTGGATCAGTGGTTGGGATCGGCGGTTTGGTGGGTTGCGATGCTGGGTGCCGTTAACAAAACTTGCGGCTTTGGCTCGTTGCTAGGATGGAACTGCCGGTTCGTCGGTTGTGATTTGGTGCAGTGTGGGTTGGATGAATGGTGGAAAGCTAGGATTGAGTTTTAGCCTTTTAGGGCTCTTTGTCTTCGCGTGTTATATTATAGATAGATGTTGGTGTTGTTCGTGGATTGGTAGTGACCTTGCTCCAAGGTTTCAGTTTAGAGGATGTCTTCGTCTTTTAAGGCATGGTATTCCTAGCTGAGGAGCTGGAAACCTATTTTTGTACTCTTCTGAAAATGAGAATATTGTCTTGATGTCCAGCATGGCAGTGCATTTCAATTTTTTATTTATTGATTTGATGTTGTAGCGTTAGTTTGCAAGCTAACTTTTGAACCTTTCTGCAGGCCGAGGTTGCATAGAGCCATAGAGGTGCCGGTATCTTACTCCGCTGCTGGTTATGCTATCTGCTTATGACATCAGTTTCCCGAAATTTTCCCAGCTTCTTGCCCCTGGTTGGTAAAATTTTGTAATAACGGCTGCCCTGACTGCGGAAGACGCAACTATGCGTCTTTCTTCTTCTCTTCAAGATCTGCCGACCTTCACTAGAATTGATGCTTTGGAAAGGGGCTCTAGTGTTGGCAGTGATCTGAGCTCAGGGCGTGCAAAACCTGTCCGCATGCTTCAAAGAGATGGTGCTGTGGCAAGCTTTTCAAAAGAAAGAACACCCCCATCATCACCGACAAATAGAAAGAAATGCATGAGAGCAGCCGGATGTGCTATTGCACTGATCTTATTGGTGTTCTTTGCATATGGTTCTTGGAGATATTTCTATGTGTTCCTCTCTGAAGGAAGCTCTGAATACTATGTGGTTCTTGATTGTGGCAGCACTGGTACAAGAGTTTATGTCTATGAATGGCATATTAATCATAATGACGCAAATGCATTTCCTATTGTTTTGAAACCTTTAGGGAATGCTCCTAAGAAGAAATCTGGTAAATTAACCCGATTATATCAGCGAATGGAGACAGAACCTGGATTGAGCAAGCTCGTTCTCAATGAATCCGGATTGAAGAAGGCAATAGAGCCCCTTCTTCAAATGGCTGAGAAATTGATCCCTAGACATGCACACAAACACACTCCACTTTTTCTATATGCTACTGCTGGTGTCCGCAAGCTACCTAGTGCAGATTCAGAGTGGCTCCTGGATAAGGCCTGGGATATTCTGAACAATTCATCATTTTTATGTAGTAGAGACAGAGTTAAGATCATTAGTGGCATGGATGAAGCTTATTATGGATGGATAGCTCTTAACCACCACATGAATATGCTTGGCACCTCATCATCTAAAATGACATATGGTTCACTTGATTTAGGTGGATCATCATTACAGGTTACATTTGAGAATGATAAATCAGTGCAGGATGAGACAAGCATTCGTCTGAGTATTGGTTCAGTTGATCATCACCTTAGTGCTTATTCTCTTACTGGTTATGGGTTAAATGATGCGTTTGATAAATCTGTAGCACAGCTAGTGAAAAGGTTGGGAGGAGCAGCTAGTAACGGCAAGGTTCAAGTCAAACATCCCTGTCTACAGACTGGATACAAAGAAGATTACATTTGTTCTTACTGCCACCCATTAAAACAAGATGGAAGTCCCAGTGTTGGTGAGAAGAACACTGGCAAAGAGAAGCAGGGAATAGCTGTTGAACTGGTTGGAGCACCTCAGTGGAATGAATGTAGTGCTCTTGCAAAAGTAACAGTCAACCTTTCTGAGTGGTCCAGTGCAAGTCCAGGTCTTGATTGTAATATTCATCCTTGTGCTCTTGCTTCTAACTTTCCCCAACCACATGGGCAGTTTTTTGCTATGTCTGGCTTCTTTGTGGTTTTTAAATTTTTTAATTTGACTGCTGATGCGACTCTAGTTGATGTTCTAAAAAGAGGTCAGGAGTTTTGTGAAAAACCATGGAAAGTTGCAAAGAGTAGTGTTCCTCCACAGCCTTTTGTAGAACAATATTGCTTCAGAGCTCCTTATATTGCATCACTACTGAGAGAGGGATTGCAGATTAAAGATAGTCAGGTGATAATCGGCTCTGGCAGTATTACTTGGACTCTTGGAGTTGCTTTGTTGGAGGCTGGTCAGGCATTATATTCACGACTAGATATTCAAGGATACCGAATACTGCACCGGGAGATAAACCCAAATATTCTCATAGTATTGTTTCTGATTTCAATTGTGTTGGTCATATGTGCCATACTATGCGTCAGCAATTCAATCCCAAGATCATTCCGCAAGTCTTATCTGCCACTTCATAGGCATAATTCTGGAGGCAGTTCTGTTCTTGGTATAGGATTGCCTTTCAAACATTTATGGAATCCCATTAGTTCAGGTATGTGCAAGTGCGTTTTTCTGTTTATTTTGTTCCTGCCATCTTGGTTTCTCCCCTTCTGTATAAAGTTAACCTACCATGTAAGGACTGCAGTACTCGAATTATTTTGCCCTGGTTGGCTGCTAGATACGCTTTTTTTAAGACAGGGTTCTTAACTTGTTTTGTTGGAAAGCTACTTGCCATTTTGTTTTCTAGAAAATGGAAGAGACACACACTTCTGGGTCTCCGCACACAGCCTTCTTGCCATTTTGTTAGTTTCCGATATTCTACTATGTAACCTTCTAGGAATCAGCATTACAAAAGACTGTTGTGTGGTGGAACTTGCAGGACACGGGACTTTTCATGTTTTCACTCCAGTTTACTTGTTACGAAATGCCATTTGAACTAAACTTTGTAATGTTACCTCAAATGTACCTATTATATCACATTAATCCTTGTGACTCTTTTCTATGAAATGATACTACACAGAATGAGTATAATTTTCATCACATCAATTCAAACTATCTAAGTTCTTTAAAAATTTGTGAATCTTACTTTTCTTTACTGTAGCTTAGCTTAGATAATCAAACATTTGAATTTTCTTAATTTTGCAGGTGATGGAAGAACAAAGACACCACTGAGCCCTACTGTTGCTAGGTCAGATCCTCATCCATTTGGTATGAGCCATGGATTAGGAGGCAGCAGTGTTCAGCTTATGGAGTCCTCGAGGCAATCCTTGGGCGCCTATCACAGCTATTCTGTTGGGAGCTTAGGTCAGATGCAGTTTTCCAGTGGTGTGAGGAACCCTAGCCGAGGTCAGACTACACTTCAAAGCCGGAGGTCACAATCAAGAGAAGATCTCATTTCTTCACTTGCTGATATTCATGTTCCAAAAGTGTAGCATTGCATCACAGAATGACGACTAGAATGAGATCCTATACACCATAACAAACTCTGTAAATAATAGCTCCAGAGTTCAAACTGCTTGATTTCTTCTCTAATCAGAAGTCAATTTTGTCGGTCCACTGACACTTCAACGAGGTTTTAGGATTCATATAAATGAACTTATGACTTGTGCCTATCCTGGACATGATACATCCATTCATCCCATTGTATGTGCTCAAGAACATACCATAGCAATGAAGTTCTAGTAGTGTACTGGAAGATATATTTTATGCCGTTCACCAGACTGACCATGGCTGCAACCTGCAAGTCTGTAGGTCGATTGTGCTGCAATCAGGCATGTTTCTTTTTTATCTGAGACATAATAAAGGTGCATGTGGTCTCATGTATTGTTGTATCCTCTAGGCTCTAGTGGTTCTGTGAGCCTTCTCTTCTTTCCTGGAATCAGTTAAAATCATGAAACACTGACATCAGTTATACTGGACTATCTAGTTGCGTCCTGTGCAGACACATTCATTGAGATTTTTTTTTTTGGCATAGAATCTACTTTGATGACCCTGAAAAATCAGTATAGGAGCATTTGGGCTCCTGTTTTCCCCCGTTGAGCTGAGTTTGATCTCTCTGTCTTGCGCATTGCATGTGGCTCGTTTCACCCTTTGGCCATTTGCTCGCGCGTACCTCCTCGGTAGTTTTAAAAGAGAATTTCTTATTTGGCCTTGCTTAAAAGTTGTCTTTCTTCCTTGACCCTAAAACAAAATTTCTTACCTATTTGGCCTCACTTGAAGTTTCGTTCTCTAATTTGGTCTTATCGTGAGATCTGTCCAAATTTGTCATCATTGAGTTGTCAGTTTTTATTGAACAAACATAAATACCCTAACTGAAGCCGTGTCTCTCCTTTCTCTTCTATCTCGACCTCTCGGTCTCGTCCGTCCCTTCCCGCATCCGAGCCCGCTCTCTTCTTCTGAAACAAAAAAGGAACCCTAACCCTAGGTACTGCGGGGCGGCGGCCAGGGCGCGTAGGCTCAAGAAAGCGGTTTGGTGGGCGGAGGCAAAGGCAAAGCGGATCGCCTGGGTCATGGGCGGCTAGGGCGTCTGGCGCCCTAGGCTCATGGGCGACAGGATGTGTGGGCGGCTGGGCTCGAGGCGGCGCCAGGCTCAGCAAGAATGGCGCGTCGACGCTCCCTCGCTACACCTACCGCAAGTCACTCCCCTTCCGCATCGGCCTTTGGAACTGGTCCGTCTCCTCCCTTGCTCCCTCCCTCCCCTTCCATGTCTCTCTGCTTCTCAGCAGATTCGTTCAGAAAGTTTGTGCTTGTTACTTGGTTCTCATGTCGGATAGGGTGCAAAAGTTTCAACTTTGGTAGTGATTTGTTACTGCTTGTTCAAGTGCTCCTGATTTGTGTGTGAATCATGCGCATCTAAATCCTGGATGGATGTTGTTTCTTTAGATTGAGGTTTCTGGAGGTAGCTTGCTGATTTACAAGTTAGGGATAGGTTTGTACCAAGCTGAATTTCATCTGTGCATGAATCATGGAGTTTTGGTTGAGATTGCTTCGATTTTTCGCTCGCGCCTCTTGCTGTTCGTAGTGTTCTATTCTTCGTGCTCGGTCTCCAGGTCGGCGCTCCCGTACGGTGTTGACCATGGTAGTGCAGCTCCTGCTCTGCGCGCCCTCGCAGCGCATGCGATCGCTGCAGGCGGCTCGGCGTCGTCGTGACAGCCTTCGCCCATGACCTGGGCGCCTTGCCACGCTTTCGCGTCAAAGCGAGGAGCCCTCCTTGATTTGTGCGAATCCGGTCCGAAAGCAAGGTTCGCCTGTGAGGCCCGGTGTGTGGCTCTGCTTCGTCCGCTCTGCAAGGAATAGCTCGTCGTGGCCGGTCGTGGTCTTCATTGTTCTTGCAAGCGCAGCTTGCCAAGGTCATGCGTGGCCTTTCTCCTTGCTATTCGTGGCCGTAACCTCTCTCTCTCCTCCTCCGTGCGTTTTTGGTTCCGTGAGATTTGGACTCCACGAGGAGCTGGTCCGTTGCCCCAGCTGCTTGGTCCATCTCTGTTCGGTCTCTCCTCTCCCTCTGGGTTGAGCCACAGGTGTCAGACTCCCGAGAGGATTTCTCGTTCCTGTACCGCACATGGACTCCAATCTCATCCAGTAATTCGGTCTTAGCTTCAAGGTGACCGACATGCTGCCGTTGTGCTTCGGGCTGGAATTTCTAGTTGAAGGCTTCGGAATTTCCAGCCTATAATTTCCTAACTCGCTTTTTCGTCCATTGTTTATTTGTTTGATCTTCGATTTACAAGTTCATGATGTATCGCTTGTCTTCCCGTTAATTTGGGTTGTTCATTTCATATAGTAGTTCTGATAATCTGATTGATAGTGTGCTATTCGATAAGTTGGTGAGTTTTAATTTTTCTTGTGTGATACTGAACTTCCATCAGGATATTGTTCTTTGTTGAGGCTGGAAAAAAAACAGAGTTTTGGCAGTACAGAGTTTTCGTGGTGACCAGGGTGCACGGCCTGGACTTTGGCTCTCTATGTGCCAGTGGCCTGCGACGCCAGCACGGGTTGAATGGAGCCCGACAGAGGTGCAGACGAGGACCTAGACATTGGAGGAGATGGTGCATCCGCAGTACAAGCAGATTGGCTTAAAGGGTGAATTGCAATTAGAGCCATTTTCTTTCAGACTGTTGAGTCTATTAGCTGTCATCAACAACAGTAGCATCATTTTACCATGATCCGGTGGATCCAGCTTGCTTGTGTTCTCAGTGTTGTCTGTTTTGTGCATATGCAAAACATTCGTACTGATTGATTTGAGACATTTTTTGGCTTCAAAATCGTATTGGTGCTGGATCTAGCAAAATATTAAGTCATTTGCAGCAGCAACGTAGACAGACGGACAGACATACTATCAGCATCATATGTATCGTTGATGCTGTGGTAGCAACGTGCATCTTTCTATCTATTTATATATTATAATATATATCTACAGTATATCTCTCTAAGTTTAACTAAAATGAATACCCTATTACATGCATTTTTACAGGTCCAAAAAAAAGGCTCAAATCAACCTGAACCATCTACGGAGCTTACAAGTGGTGCAGCACCAACATCTAAAACTGTGAAGGCCAAGGCTAAGACAAAGAGAAAGCGGAAGAATATAGCTAAAGACATTGCCATAAAGCCACTGATACTTGATAGCCCTGCGATGGGCATAAGAAGCAAAATATGTAATCCTGCTAGCCCTGCAATGAGCACAGGAAGTAAAATGAGGCTCAGTTTGTGACTTTCATGTGCCTGTAATGTCGCTTTTAATATGAATTTGATGTATGCGTCAAACGATGTGTCGAACTAGTGCACTGTGAAACTGATGTGTGAAAATGATGTATTTGTCGAACACTATGTTGAACTATGTGCTCTGTGCCCTTTTTAAATTTTTAGGATGATGAACTTATTTAAATTGTGTGTTATGATCAAGTTGACATCATTTTTTACTATAATGTTGGAGATCTGGATGTTGCATTCCTATTAAAAAGTGTTTAAAAATTTGTGTTATGAAAATTGGATTCAAAGTGCTCAAAATTATGTTGCTATGCTGTCTAAGTGACCTTTGGTTTCTCATAATGTCTCAGGGGCAGTTTGATCATTTCATGTGCCACTTAACGGTGTTAGAGGCTGGAGATGATGGTAAGGTCAGATTAGAAAACGAAACTTTAAGTGAGACCAAATGGGCAACAAATTTTATTTCAGGGCCAAAGAAGAAAGACAACTTTAAACTAAAGCCAAATAAGAAATTTTCTCTTTACAAAAATTCTCTGTACGTTTTAGAACATCAACTAGCAATCCATCCAACTGGGATTTTACAGGGCACGCGTTTAAAAATACCTCGGTAGTTTTGCAAAAAATCTCTGTACGTTTTAGAAAATCAACTAGCAATCCATCCAAATGGGATCTTACAGGGAACGCGTTTAAAAATTTTAGGGCCTTGATCTAAAGTGCATTTTAATGTTCTTGTTTTTATACGCTTCGGTTAGAACTTAGAAAGGTTAACATAGGAAATCCTATGATGCTCAAGGTCACGTATCTGACTCTGACATGTGGGCTCATCGCTCAGGCCAAGAAGTCGCACGACCTATGATCTTGCTCACATGTCGACCGTACGATACGACCGAAGCACCCCCTAGCACGAATCGTGACGCAGATCAAGCAAACCCTAACTGCCAACCCTACTATAAATTTTTCTCGTCTCCCCTCACTCCCGCAGCCGCCGCCGCCCTCGAAGTCGAAGCCCGTCGCTTCCGTCCCCCCGCAGCGTCGCCGACCCTCACAGCCGGTCTCCTACCTCCGCCGCCATGGGGTGAGTCTCCCCCTTCTCGTTCCGGTGTCCTGCACCCGTGCTCGTTGTTTAGAGGCGTTCCTTTGCCGTAATCAAAGCCTCTGTTTTCTTGCGTTGGTGCGTAGATTTCGCCGCGTGGCCTGTGATTTAGCCAGTTTTCTTATGTGATTAGAGAATGGAATCGGGTTAGAGGCGAAAAGCAAAATCCGAGCTTATTGACGGTCCAGCGCTGATCAGATTATACACCGTCAGTGCTAAACATATTCATAAGCTACACCAATCCGTTGCCGCTGTGTAGCCATGTGCTCCAGGATTCAATCGCTTGGGTCCATGAGGTTATGCGTGGTGGCATACAAGTCCTCTGTTAAAGTGGTATCCGACGCTTTAAGAATCTCCTCTTCTGTGTTGATCTGTTTTGTTATTGTTAGGTTTTTGCCTGTGCCCTTTTGTTATGATGTTACTAGTGAGCGCTAGTCGTACTTGTTTGGTCTAGCTAAAAGAATGGATTTGTGTGTAGCTTCTGTTTACAGTTCTACTAGATGGAATGATGTCTGTTTGCAACACTGATACAATTCAGTACTTAATTGTTTACATTATTGCATTTTTATGCATGATTGTATCTATGTTGTTGTGCATTTGCTACATGGATTTTAGCATGGTAGGGTGTATCATGGTGATGTTTATGCAATGGACATGGAGAATTGTGGTCATGAGTTGCAGAACCTGTGTTAACATATTGGTCTTGAATTCGCATCACAGGAAGACACGTGGTATGGGAGCTGGGCGCAAGCTCAAGACCCACCGCAGGAACCAGAGGTGGGCTGACAAAGCATACAAGAAGAGCCACTTGGGCAATGAGTGGAAAAAACCCTTTGCTGGATCATCTCACGCCAAGGGCATCGTTCTGGAGAAGATGTATGTCAGCCATGGGAATGATTTGTGCTTTTATTATCTTGTACTTTATGTGCTTGGGCTAAGGTGTGTTGCTTCCATTGTGTAGCGGTATTGAGGCCAAGCAGCCAAACTCTGCCATCCGTAAGTGCGCCCGTGTTCAGCTGGTGAAGAATGGGAAGAAGATTGCTGCCTTTGTGCCTAATGATGGTTGCCTGAACTACATCGAGGAGAATGTATATGTTCCTTGACCAATTCTCCTTGTAATGAATGTAAAATCTATGTAATGAAAAAGCTAACCATCTCTCTTTCTGTAGGATGAGGTGTTGATTGCTGGATTCGGTCGCAAGGGCCATGCTGTGGGAGATATTCCTGGTGTCAGGTTCAAGGTTGTGAAGGTATCTGGTGTGTCGCTGCTTGCACTCTTCAAGGAAAAGAAGGAGAAGCCAAGGTCTTAGATTCCTTTCGATAGTCAAGAATGGAGTAAACTGTCAAGGCTCTATTATCAAACTTAAAGTTGTGCTAGCAACAGAGATGTTAGTTCTGAGCTGTATTTTTTGTTAACATTGCTATCGAGAGTTTTGTTTCCATTTTGAAGATATTAATATGCAATCAGCATGTGCCGGTTCAATGAGCTGTATGTTTTGATATTGTATTGCACTGTTGTTTGTTTTGCCCTAGCCAAGTAGCCTGTGTTTGAAGATTGTTTCGTAAGAAGAAATCTACCCACTAGCAATCCTTAATGCCTCGTTCACCAAGTTACATTTTTAAAATATTTCTAAAATGCTTTCATAATGTCAGTACGTCGACCAAAATGACCCAGAGCAGGAAGGGTACTGGGTAAGTTTTCCTCCTGTCCCCAGTCAATTTCGGGAACGATGGCAACTAAAACCCCACGATCAGCAATGGAATTGGAGAAATAATTGTCTATTCTGATTTCTGAAAAGCCTTTTTTTGTGTGTTACAGAACTATCTGTTACGAAACGGTGCATGCCTACCAACAGACACATATTCTACATAACTCTCCCAAACAGTCACATCCGTACGACGTCTGTACAGCGTGACCCTTCACTTTATATATCTAAGAGATCAATGAAAGCAATAGTTGTTCCAAAATCTTGTTCATTTTCATTCATTTTTCAACACGTTATCAGCACTACTCTACTGGACAAGAGAAAGAGAACGACGACAACAGAGGCACATGCCTTTGAACCCCCATCGGTAAGCATGGCAAGGATTGACTTACCGTCGCATGTTGTTCGTCAACTGTTCTTGACCCTTTGCCGCGTCGGTGGAGTTCGTCGTGGCCCGATCCGCCACCACGGCCACCATGGACAACGCCGCAGCGTCTTCGAGTGCCTTGGGCCTCGTGTTCGCCGCGACAGTGCCCATGGTCATGGCCATGGTCCTTTCGGCCGCCTCTTCGACTCCGCTCTTCGTGGCTTCCGTTCCGATGCAGTTCCTCGCCGTCGATGAATTCCTGTTCGTGGCCGCCATGCTTCTCCTCCGCGCGATCTTCGTCTGCAGAGCCAGCCACCATCTCCTCGCCTTGGCTTGGACGGTGTCGGCCCCAGCAACGCTGCGCCACCAGTCCAGGAAGGCCCGGCGCCACCAGTCCAGGAACCCCCCGCGCCACCAGTCGTTGAAGCCCCGGCGCCGTCCGTTGATGAAGTGGTTGCCGAGCCCGTCGCTGTCCCCGCGTACATACCCATGGAGCCGATGTCGCCAGCACCGGCACCGCCTCGCTTCTGGTGCGACTTCTGCAAGGAGTTCACCTCGATCCCGCACACGCTCGAGTACTCATACTCGCTGCCGACGCCCACACCAGCCTCTCCGACTCCAGTGGCGACAGGCAACGGCGTCCCCCCGCTCGATCCGTGGTTTCTGAACACGCGGGCTGCTCCCGCGCTTGACGCCGCGAAGATTGAGGAAGAGGACGAGGACATGGTGGCTGCCCCCGGCATCGACAACCTCTTCAACCCCGGCGGCACGCACGCGGCCAGGACTGGCATCCCGCTTGAAAGCTCTAGTTTGGTTTTGGTAAATTGATGAAACCCTAAGTGCTAACCTAGTTCATCAAGTGATCATGAGATAGGTAGCACACTTCAAGTAGAGAAGTAAATGAAGATCATAACATGACAATGGTGATAGCATGGAGATGATCAAGGGCTTAAACTTGAAGAGAAGAAAGAGAAAAACGAAAAGCTCAAGGCAAAGGTATAACTTGTAGGAGCTATTTTATTTTGGTGATCAAGACACTTAGAGAGTGTGATCACATTTAGGTTTGATAGCCGTACTATTAAGAGGGGTGAAACTCGTATCGGAATGCGGTTATCAAAGTGCCACTAGATGCTCTAACTCATTGCATATGCATTTAGGATCTAGTGGAGTGCTAACACCCTTGAAAATATTTGTGAAAATATGCTAACACATGTGCACAAGGTGTTTGTAGGGTTGAGATGGGTTTGGGTCCCTCTCTCCCTCCCGTCGAGCTTGCGAGGCGGGATTCGGTGCTTTCGGGAAAATGAAATGTCTATTTTCTATTGCGCCGGATGCAAAATTCTTGGTGGTTGGCACACTTAAGCAAGGGTGAAGAAGTAAGAGTTGAAATGGAGTTGATCGAAATGATGCTGGCGTCGGTCCAGTGACCGGACGCTGGATCCAGAAGCACCGGATGCTGCCTGCCTGCGTCCGGTCGCGTTGACTGTCGGTACAGTGGCTAGGGATGAGCACCGGACGCTGGCTGCGTCCGGTCAAGGTGGACCGGATGTGTCCGGTCGAAAAATCATGCCTCGGGGAGCTTACTGGAAACGACCGGACGCTAGGGCTTCAGCGTCCGGTCAGTTTTACCGGAGCGTCCGGTCAGCTTCGCGACCGTTGAGATCTGATGAACAGCATTTGAAGCAGGGGACACGTGGCGTGAATCACGTGACCGGACGCTGAGGGCCAGCGTCCGGTCGATCGGACCGGAGCGTCCGGTCACCCCGCGTTGTGCCCAGTGAAGGGGTACAACGACTCTATTTCATTGGGGCTCTATTTATAGCCCCATGGCCGGCTCAAGGGAGCTCTCTTGCACATTTTCATTGACATAGCAACCTTGTGAGCCTAGCCAAAGTTCTCTCACTCATTTCCATCATAGATTAAACATCTTTGTGAGATTGGGAGAGAATCCAAGTGCATTGCTTGAGTGATTGCATCTAGAGGCACTTGGTGATTGTGTTTCATTCATGGATTTCGCTTGTTACTCTTGGTGGTTGCCGCCACCTAGGACGGCTTGGAGCGCAAGGATCGTTGAGTGGAGGAGGTGATTGTCTCCGACTCCGATCGTGATGATTGTGAGGGTTCTTGACCTTTCTTCGGCGGAGCGCCAAAAGGTACTCTAGTAAATTGCTTGTGGCTTGTGTGATCCTCATCTTGTGTTGGTTGTGCGGGCACTATTGAGGGTTTGGCGAGTGATGCCAATCGGTAGCGTGAACCTCCAAGTGAGTGAATCGCCACAACGAGGACTAGCTTGTCGGCAAGCAAGTGAACCTCGGTAAAAATCATTGTGTTCATCATTTGATTCCGAGGTGATTGGTCTACATTGGTATTCATTATTGTGATTGATTGGTTCCTACCACTACTGCGGCGGTATAACTCTCTTGCTCACTCTTACATTACAATAAACTAGTTATCAAGCTCTTTAGTGTAGCTAGTTGTGAGAGCTTGTTTGTTTGATTAGTGTTGCTCTTTAGTTAGTCTTTGAGAGTACACTAATTTAACTAAGTGTCATAGCTATTGTGTGGACATACACTATTCGAAATAGAATTGTGGTAGGTGGCTTGCATTTTAGTAGGCTAGCGCAACACTCGCTTCGCCGCAAAATTGTCTAACACATTTTGTTAAGTGTTATTGTAGAATTTTATTAGGCTATTCACCCCCCCTCTAGCCATTAGGACCTTTCACCGCTGTACAGCTTCTTCGACGCGGCCGGACCCTCGGCTACTCCTCCGGCGGCGACCCCGCCAACGGCTCCTCCTCCGTCAGTGGCGCTGCCCCTTCCTTGGAACATCCTCGGCGCTCGCACGGACATGGTGGCGACTCCAGCACCGGCGGCCGCTTCCTCGGCCACGACACAAGCCGAAGCTGTGGCCCGCATGAAGGCGCAGGCACTCCCGGTGGTGCCTCCAACTTCGACAGAGGGCACAGCCACCAAGCCCCCCACGATTCGCCGCCTCCTCGGCCGCAGGGTGGCCGCCGTGGACAGGCGCCCGGGGATCCGCCGGGGACTTGGAACCCGGCCGTGCTCGGCCTCCCGTCGGCGGAGGTGCTCAACATGGCTAGCGGCGGCAGCGGCTTCTACTCCCCGGAGGACGAGGACTCCTCGAACTGAAGACCGGCAGCGATGGCGCAGTGGAGGGCGACAGCAAGGTGGTTTGCGGCGGCGGCGGCGGTCTCCGAGAAGATAGCGGTGACGAGCGGTTAGGGTTGAAACCCTAACTGCCGCTTGCTCCTTGCCTTTTAAAGGCCCGCGTGCGCAAATGGGCCAGCCCAAATGACCTGCGCCCAGCCCTCCCTCCCTGCTGTCCACTGTGCACCGGACTGGGCCAGGCTAGGCCCAAACGAACATGGATCGTTCATGATTCTTTTGGCCCGACTGACTCCTTCTGTTTTATTTATTTAATTTCAGCATTAATTCGTATAAGACTCTGTTAGTCTCTTATAATTATGTGCTGTAAAATTAAGTACTCTTATGTTTAGTCGCTGACTTTAACTATAGTTATACTTGTGATATTTTATTATTGTAAAATATCTATTTATGATATTATTCAAAGAATTTGTCCCTGTAAGTATGGCAAATCCAATAAATAATATCCTGGTTATTATGACCATGATCTTGCAAATTATTTATTCATTAATCACTTTTGCAATCGATCATTTTTAAGCCCCTTTTATGCTTTTGACTTTAAAGCACTACGCGCTTAAATAATGGATGCGACATTTTATGTATATTTTCTCATCAATTGTATAACTCGCATGTTCTCTATTTGTTTGTTGGCCATACACAAGGTAGCACCACTGTTGCTACTGCGGGATCTACACTAAGTAAACACTTAGTGACTATCCTCAACGTGCGTACCCAACATCACAAATGAGAACATCTGGTCTACATCTTTTCACAAAGATGACTACCATTAATTCATATTCCTATTGGCCATACACAAGGTAGCACAATAGTTGCTACTGTGGGATCTACACTAAGTCCACAACTTAGTGACTATCCTCAACGTGCGTACCCAATTCGTTTCCGAATTGACTAAGGTCTACATCATTCTTGATGACTACCTTAAGACGTGTTTATACAACTTGCATAATTACTTGGCATCTACTGTTAATACAGACTATGCCCAATTTGAGGTCTACACTTTTATGGTGACTACCTCCATTTTTTCATTATGCACATGAGATCTTTACAACATTAATAATACAAGATTTATCTTGTCTATATTTTGCATCCCATAATTACAACATACCACAACATTTTAATAACTTAAAATGTTTTGATGGTTTACCTCGTGTAGGATCAATGACCGTTAAAGAGTTTGATTTGCTTGCTCTAGACGGCCATAATTATCCCACATGGGCTGTGGACGTAAAGGTTAGTCTTGCGTCCCATGGACTTTATCGAGCTGTGTTACCACCCGAAGAGGGGTGTTGCACCTCTTGATGATCAACATGTATACACGGCCCTATATCTCATTAGGAGCCATATTCATCCTGATCTTAAGGCTGAATACTTGTTGGAAGAGAACCCACGAAATCTATGGAATTCTCTTAAGCAACGCTATGAATAACAAAAGGCACTTGTCCTACCTGTGGCCAACTATGAGTGGACGCAACTTCGCTTACAGGATTTCAAAACTATGAGTGATTACAATCATGTTGTTCATAGGATTTGCTCAAAGTTGCAATTCTGCGAGAAAGAACCTACAAATACGGATAAAATAGAAAAGACTTTGTCTACTATGCTTCCCTCTGAAAGGATTCTTTAACAACAATACCATGAAAGACGTTTACAGGTTTATTCTGAGCTTATACAAACTTTACTTGAGGCCAAAAAACATTCTGAACTTATAGTTTGGAATAATCAGCAGCGCCCCGTAGGGTCTGCTCCATTGCCTGAAGTACATGCTTACACTCAGAATAAACACAAATTTGATGGTGGACTTTCTAAGACCCATCCTCAGGGAAATTCCAAGAAAGGTAAAAAACAACGCAGACGCAATAAGAAATCCTAAACTTGTATTTCCAACAAGGGTAAAAACATTTTCAAACACAGGAATGACAAACCTGTGTGTCAGAAGTGTGGTTGTTATAGCCATATTACAAAGAAATGTCATACCCCAAGTCATCTTGTTGATCTCTACTTAAAGTCTGTGGGTCGCGGACGTGCTGCACCAGCATAGAAGTATGAAGCTCACTTCAACATTCGACCTGACACCACCAGGAATGAGGCTGGTTGTTCGCAACAAGTTCCAATGGAACCAAGCAGTAACAACATACGAGGAGGCGAGGATCTTGTTGATACGGGGAATATGATCATGAAATATGCATCCAATGATATATTTGGAGACTTTGAATAGGCTCCCAATCCCTTAGATTCTAGTGTCTTTATGTCCTAATGATTATAATAGTTAAAATAATTTATGTCTTATGTGTTGTAAATATTTAATAATGTCATCACTATTTGGTTTGAATATCCAATAAATGCAATGTACACATTTGATATTCAATAAATAAAGTATGTATTCTATATATCATCAACGAGTTTTATATCAAATTCTTTATTTATATATAGTTTCTATGGGGGTCAATCTGATGGAGGAGGAATTATGCCTAGTGGACAGTGGTACCACTAATTCTATACTTAGAGAAACAAAATATTTCCAAACTCTTACAAAAAGACAAGGAAATGTTTTGACAATCGCCGGGCGCGATGCTACGATAGTTGGCTCTGGTCGTGCCACTATTGTACTCCCCATGGGTACTCAAATTATAATTGATGATGCATTATTGTATCCCGATTCAAAGTGTACCTTATTAAGTTATAAAGATATCCGTTAAAATGGTTTCCATATAGAAACCTGTGATGACAATAATGAGGAAATTCTCCTTGTTACTAAAAATAACATATATGGCAAGCGAATTGTTGAGAAAATTCCTTCTTTTCTGTCTGGATTGTACTACACATACATCAAACCCGTACCGCATGTTGCGTACAAGGTAATTTTTCAGAATGTTGACGCATTCAAAATTTGGCATGAACGCCTTGGCCATCCTGGTATAGGGATGATACGAAAAATTATCAGCAATTCTAAAGGTCATGACTTAATTACTGCTAAATTCCTGAAATCTTCAGATTTTATGTGCACTTCATGCGCTACAGGAAAATTGATCATACAACCATCGCCCGTTAAGATCCAAAATGAGCCACTAAATTTTTTTGAACGCATTTAAGGAGATATTTGTGGCCCCATACAACCAATGTCTGGACCGTTCAGGTACTTCATGGTTCTAATAGATGCATCTACTCGATGGTCTCATGTGTGTCTTTTGTCCACACGTAACCATGCTTTTGCAAAAATTATTGCTCGAGTTATTAGACTTAGAGCACATCATCCTGAACATCAAATTCAATCAATTCGAATGGACAATGCTGCTGAATTTTCCTCAAATGCTTTTAACGATTATTGTATGGCTTTGGGAATTCAAGTTCAGCACTCTGTCCCATATGTCCATACACAAAATGGTTTAGCAGAATCTCTTATTAAGAGAATTAAACTCATTGCAATACCGTTATTACAAAATTGCAACCTACCAACTTTATGTTGGGGTCATGCAGTCTTACACGCTGCTGACTTAATTCAATTGCGACAAACTGCATATCACGTTGTCTCCCCATTGCAATTAGTACGTGGGAATATGCCAAATATTTTCCATCTGTGAAAATTCGGTTGCGCTGTATACGTATCGATCTCACTGCCTAAGCGTACTTCTATGGACCCACATAGAAAACTTAGTATCTATGTGGGATATCAATCTCCATCAATTATCAAATACCTCGAGCCTCTTACAGGGACTTATTCACGACCCAATACGTTGACTGCATATTTAATGAGGACCATTTCCCGGCATTAGGGGGAGACTTCAAGTACCAAAACAAATGTCAGGAAATCATCTGGAATGTCCAAGGCATTCCCTCCTCAGATCCACGTACTCTAGATACTGAACAACAAGTTCAGAAAATCATAAACTTGCAACATATTGCAAATAACATGTCAGAAGCATTTACTGATTATAAGGGTGTCACTAAATCCTCTTATCCTGCTCGCAATGCGCCTGAAAGAGTGGAGGTACCAATAAAAACCATTCAACTCCCACTTCCAAAGAAGAGGGGGAGAAGTACGGCCGCTCCTAAGGATAATGCTACAATTAAGCGTCCGGAGATATCGAGGGCTAAATCCTCCAAATCAGTAAATCCAAGCCAACCTCAAGTTGGTAGACACCCAATAGTGGATAAAAATCCAACATTAGGACCAAATCCACAACCCGGATCAACAGTACATCCAAATTCTGATCCTGAGATATCGGAACACCCCAACTCCGTAGTTTTGGGAAATGTTGAGTCAAATAATGGGGTGAAAGAAATTTCCATCAATTACATAGATTCTAGAGAATCATACGATCGTAAGACTACTGTTGTCGACATGTACTTCTCCGCAGCAATTGCAGAAATCTTTCTCAATGATCCAGATCCCAAGACCATGACAGAGTGCAAAAAGCGCTCGGACTGGGCTCAATGGAAAGAAGCAATTCAAGCTGAGATAGCTTCGCTCACTAGAAGAGGGGTATTCACATCTGCAATACCTACACCTTTCAAAGTCTTTCCTGTAGGCTTTAAATGGGTTTTCGTCCGAAAACGGAATGAGAATAATAAGGTGGTGAGATATAAAGCGAGGCTAGTAGCACAAGGGTTCACGCAGAGACCCGATATTGATTACAATGAAACATATTCTCTAGTAATGAGTGAAATTACTTTCCGATACTTAATATCATTGGCAGTTCAAAATCATCTATCTATGCAGTTGATGGATGTGGCGATAGCATATCTATACATACATATTCCTCAGATTTTTTCCACAGGGTTTTTTGAGGAATTCAAACATACAACTACATTGATCTCAAAGAAGATTCAATTAAGGGGGAGTGTTACGAAACGGTGCCTGCCTGCCAACAGACACCTATTCTACAGATGATCTCATCCGTCCAAGTAAGCAGTTAGGATTAGATATTAAATTAGCAGTTAACTCTCCCGAACAATCACGTCCGTACGACGTCCGTACAGCGTGACCCTTCACTTGTATATGTATCTAAGAGATCAATGAAAGCAATAGTTGTTTCAAAATCTTGTTCATTTTCATTCATTTTTCAACACTATCAAGATAGCAATTCAAGCACTGAATCACAGTAACAGCAAACTGACGATCTGCAATGACAATGGTGGTACCTGGAACAAGAAATAATTGTCTGTTCTGAAAAGCCAGTTTTTTTTAAAGGTGTCGCAGAACTATCCAAATAGCAACTTAAGCACTGAAGCACCGATGGCTGAGGGGGTAATTTACAGGCGCCCCAACTCCTCTCCGGCCCCTCGCCCCCGCCGCTGCCCAACGTTCCACCGCGGCGCGCTAGGGTTTCATTAGAGCTCCAACGAAACCCTAGCATGCAAACGGCGGCCACCTTCTCCCCCACTCCCGCCAACGCCATGGCCATTGAGCTCCCCTGCCCCAACCTAGCTCAGCCACCTCCACCGCCGCCAAGGCCCCTAAACCGCCCTCTCGTCGTCCCCACCGCCTGGACGGCCTTCCTCCAGACCCCTTCTCTTCTAAACCCACCAGAGTTGGGAAAGAAGGGGGTGTGGCGGGCACGGTTGACAGTGCGCTGATAGGACCCACCACGTGCGCTAGAGGGAGATGGGGGAGGTGAGCGTGCAGTGGCCGAAAAAACAGCCTGCCGTTTTTAAGTCATTACCATGTTTTCCATGTGATCGGATAGTGCAAGGGCCGCAAAATGCATCATATAAAATTCTGGATGTTACATCGGCAAGCTTGAAAATCTATAAACTAGTAACGGCCATAGAGGGTTCCTGCTTCACAATAATATCATATCGAAACCATGGCATACATCAAGCTATCAAAGTTAGTGGTCATCCTGCGACGCGTGCACTTCAGTCGCCTGTACATTGCAGCACGTATGTGCGCAGCCATGAGGATACGCATAGCCTCCAAACCATACGTCTGTCACGGGAGGGGTCCAGAGTGTGTGGAGATCATCCTGAAGCAGGCATGCGTAAGATCGGATACTAACTAGTACAGACAAATCCTGTGCAAATTCTAGTTTCATTCAAGAAAACTCACCATCTTGACCTCGTTGGCTGGCATTGTTAATATGACGCAGTCACCAGCTGTTTATAAAAAGAAGCTATGTCATATTCTCAGTTAGGCAAGTCTGATCATGAATCTGCTGTATAAAACAGCATCTTATTCAGAGCAAGAGCAATGCTATAACTTCTTGGCCCTAACCAGATCTGTAGAACTTTATCTGATACATCCCTGATCCTTTTTTAATAAGGAAACCTTCAATGTCCATCTTTTCTACAAGAGCGTCCAAGTCTGGAACTCGCAAGCTGATCTTATCAGCTAAGGTGAAAAGCTCCTGGTACTCGGCAAAATGATAGAACATGAGGGCAGCGTCAGGAATTAGGAAAAAGGCACAAAAGGTATGCATGTGTTATTTTTGTGCAAACAAGCCAGAAATAGATTTTCCTGTTTAATTGACCAAAAATGCTCACACAGAAATTTCAAGAATGTGCGTGTGTTTTTTGTTAAGTGCAGAAAAAAACAAGTTTACAAGAGAATGTGATTTTTTTTCTTTTGTAAAGAAAACGTTACAAGAAAAGAAAAATGCTCAAAATGCAGTAGTGGCTTTTCTTCCAAACAGAGCAGATTCCGAATGGTAATTGAACTTAAAAGGAAGATTTGCCACATCACTTACGGTTTTTGAAAAGCAGTCTTTTTGCTGCAACTCAGATTCCTTGTTTAATGCATTCAGAAACCTCTTTGCCTCCTTCGGTTGGCTCATCCCAGCGCTCCGAGCAAAATCGACGTAACCATGTTCATCAACATATTTGTCATACAGAGATTCTTTCATGATATCAACAACATCCTGCTAAGTGCCACATGACAAATTGAACATTAAAATAAGGGAGAATTATCTATTTGGCACTGAAACAAATCAGTGTTTCGTATTTGGCACACAAGAATTTAAACTTTTTTATCTGGCACCTAGTTGAATTTTGCTTTCGTAAATGGCACTACCGTCCATTTAGGACAGTAACAGTGTCAAGTGACTGACAAAATGACATGAATACCCTCGTTTACAGCAAAAACCCATGGTGCTAAATATGAAAATTTAAGTATTTTCGTATGGACGATATTGTCCTCAACTACTTCCCTCATCCTTGTCACTAACGTGTAGGCCCCACTCGTCATCCCCTTCCTCTGCTCGTACCAATGGTGGTTCTCCTTCCCGGCCGCGCCGCCCTGCCTCCTCGGCCTCACCCCCGCGCTTGCCGACGACCAGGAACAGCAGGCTCCCCAGCAGCTGAGTCACCTGCACGCTCGACTGCCACAGCTGCGCGTGGCCATCGGCGCGCCCCAAATTCGCTCGGCCATCAGATTCCATGATCGACGGTGCATGTTCATCCCACCAACACCTACTGTGCACGCATTAGAAAATATCTTGGTGCAACCTTTCTCTCTCCCCATCTCCAGACTCTTCCACACTCGCTCTCCCTCCCTCCTCGTCCCGACCGCAGCGGCTCCCCGCACGGCGCGCCGGCCACCGCCGGTGCCGTGGCCGTGGCCCACGCCCGCTCTCCCCGCGCGACCTCTTGCAGCCGTTCCGCGGGGACCCATGGCGGCGCGGCAACATGGCACTGGCGGCGCGAGCCCCCACGGCATCGCCGACAGGCCTCGCCGGTGGCCGCCGACGCGGGTGCCCTTAGACGTGGCTTTCTCCTGCCGCTCCGCGTGTGTTCCTGTCCTCGACGAAACCCTAGGTGCCTATGCTCGACGACCGCGCCCGTGCGTGTGGCCTCTTCCTCGCCGGAGGCGACGGCGGCGGCTCAGCTTGGCGGCGCGGTGAGGCGATACGTCGTCCTCTTCTCCTCCCTCTCATGGTTCCTCCTCGGCTCACTGGAGCGGTCAGGCCCCGGCCGCGGCCGCCGCCCCAGGATGCACGTTGCCGCCCTTGGTGTGCGGTGCATTGGCGCGGCGCGCGCGAGCGTGCCTCGGTGTCGCCGGCGGGCAATGCCGGTGGCCGTGGGCGCCGGCCGTCCCCCTCTCTCTCCGCGCAGCCTCCTGCACGCTGTCCGTGCGGCTCCACTTCGATCCGTTGGTTTGCTCTCTCTGTCTCTCTCTAACGCTTTCTCTCTCTCTCTAACGCTTTCTCTCTCTCCCTCCTTACTCTGTGCAGTGAATCTAACGGATGGGTACATTGGACATGGGGAGAAAAAACTGACACGGTCAAACCAGTCACCTATCAGATGACCAATGAAAATGGACGGCAGTACCATTTAAGAAAGGAAATTTTAACTTAATGCCAAATAGGAAAGTTCAAATTTTCGAGTGCCAAATACAAAACACTGATTTGTTTCAGTGCCAAATAGACAATTCTCCCTTAAAATAATATGCCTCATGCTGCTGCTTACAATTGTATTTTGCCATATCTCTTAGCTAGTGGCGCATAACCCCAGGTTTCATGGTGAAAATATTTTACAAAAGCCTATTCTAATAGACAAAGCAGTTCAACAAGCAGAATGGATTGAAGAGAGTTCTGTAAAATCTTATGATCCTTAGATCTTGGGTCCATTGTGTTGTGTCGCCGGTATGGAGGCAATGATGGGGGAGTGGGCGGCGAGCCTCGACTATGAAGATCATAGTCGCGACTAGGATTGGAGCGAGGTTTTACCCCTCGGCTCCTTATTTTGATTAGAGAGGGATAGAGAGTAGGCTAAATCATTCTTGATTCAATCTGTTGTGCCGAATGGCTTACACAGGCCTGCAGCCAAAGCTCCCCAAACAAACTCCTAAATTCACTCCATCTTATTCTTAAATCGCTCAAATTGATAGACTCCTTGGCTAAGTTCTATACCTGCCTGTTTGGGCCTGATCAACCACTGCCATGGCCTGATGTGGTCGCTGCCCTTTTGCCGCACCTTGTGAAGGACTTGCCCCACATGACACATTGCAACTAGTCAATAAACATTTCGATTTCTGCAATTATGACCATAAAGCATGTGTTCTTGTGAGATTTTCTAAGTTGCATTCTACTAACATGGCAAGAATGTTAAATGGCAAAGCCGCAGTGGAAAATGTGGACTGTCTAACTATGGCTCTAAACAGTTTCTGCAGAACTCAAATACTCAGTTATTTTACCTGAGCGTCTTCTTCAGTCACTTCATCTCTTAGATCCACACGAGCACGAGCTTCAGCTAATCTGACTAGGCTTTCTAACTGCCTGGCTGTGATGGGTGTACCATCAGCAGAAGTGCTGCGGTTTCTCAACTTCAAATAAAAGCGTTTCAGAATTGCAGCTGCTGCCTTTGACATTCTTAAAGAGGGGAGAAAAGTGAATGAGAAAGGGCATAATAAGGCATAAAAAGTAAACTACTCTTTGCATTGCACTTGTGCTAAAAGTACAATTTTTTTTAACGTAACTAAAAGTACAATAATAACAAGATACCGGGGGAAGACATGTTCTCTTGAATAAGATATATATTTGCGAAGAAGTTGCCTAGCTAATGGAGTGAAACCCTTGTCTTTCTCTGGGTGTAGCCTCAGTCTTGAAGCTACTGAATTTCCACTAAATCCAAGCCCCAGATCACCATTAAATTGTGACACTGAGCAAAGTTCCAGAACATGAACAATGGCTTACACTTCACTTGTACAATAGATTAAAAAAAAACACAACAATATGTAATAATAACCTGTTCTAATCCTCTTGTTGGGTCTGAAATTAGCAAGATCATTGGTATGGAGCTGCTTGCAGGAAATTTTGGCTTAGTAATTCAATAAGTAGTATGTTTGGTAAGACAAAATCATTCTTACAAACTATAGATTCAATGCATTACATGAGAATGTCACTATGCTTTGTGAGATATGAATTGGCAAACATGTCTGACAGCCACTTACAGCTATTATATGGTCTGACACTCTTTTATCTAGTGACTCATCTGGCTTGTCAAGTAGAATAAACACCAAGTCAAACCGAGAAAGGAGGGCAGCACTCATCTTCAGATTCTCGTTCACTGTTTTTGCTCGACTGCAACAAACAGTGTATTTAGATGGCACTAAAATGGGCATATAATAGCCATGGGAATTCAGGCTTGAATCCTCAGTAAAAACAAAGCAAAAATAAAGAGAGAGAGAGAGAAGGGATAAGTATACTTGACATCAATGTCAATCGCATAAACTACCAATGGCCAAGAGAAATGAATTGGGACAAACTACACCACAAAATATCAACAGATGAATGGTTTTACTTCGAGTTCAGTTCTTCAGTTGCAAACTTGCAGTTTAGGACCAAAGTTAAAAGTTCAATCAAGTAATGTTTCATATGATAAAATCACCACCACATACCACTCTAGACTACCTAAACTACTAGAATAATTCCACATACATCTGTCTTTAACGGTAGATGCTATCAGTATTTCTTTAAAAAAAAGGTGAACGGAGATGAGTGGTCAAGAATGACAGGTATCATTCTCAGCCTTAACAGTACATGGCATCAGCATATCGTTTTCAAAAAAAAAAGAATGAATGGGGATGACCGATCAAGAACAATGAATGGAGAGAAATAACAAGTTTTTCAATAAGTAGGATGGAAAATATTAACGCACTCATAATGACCACCAATAGGATTTGCAGCTGCCAACACTGAAGTACGAGCTGATAAACTTGCTACAAGGCCAGCCTTTGCAACAGAAACACATTGCTGCTCCATGGCTTCAAGTAAAGCCTGAGAACCAGAAACAGAAACACAATTAGATAGGCATGTGAACTTCCTCACCAGTGAACACTTCATCGAAAACCTTCATAAGGTTTAAAATAATTGTAATACCTGATGCTCTGCAAACATTTTATCAAACTCATCAATACAGCATATTCCACGATCAGCAAGGACCATGGCACCTGTAAGTCAAGGACCCAACTTTATTTTGATCGCATTGCAAATTCTAAAACTACGAGCACTTAGAACAGCAATTGGTATGACAAGAAAAAAAATGCCATCATTAAGACATGATTTTGAACAGAAAGCTTAAAAAATTATAATGAAGGAATATATGTTTTATGGTTACCAGCCTCAAATGCATAATCATTTGTCATAGAATCTTTAACCACTGCAACAGTTAGGCCAGCCTTTGTTGTCGTATTCTCACATACATATATTCCTCGTGGGGAAACAGCGGCTGCAGCTTGGAGGAGTTGGCTCTTGCCTAACCCTGGATCACCTGTAGTATTTTAAGCAAGAGCATAATCGCATCATGAACAACACTATGGAAGTTCTGACAGGATTTATGGTAAACAAAGAAATTACCAACTACAATAACATGAATATCTCCACGAACAGGGACCTTGTTTTGATCCATTGAGTTCTTCTGCACACCGCCAAAAAGAGCGAGTGTGATACCAGCTGAAAATCAGTGTACATGAATTTAGTTATATCGAGCAATCATATGCAAATAAGAGAGAAATGAAATCAGCAGGCCTGGATGACTAAAAGGAGTGCCTTGGCCATTTTCCATAGACATCCTAAAGTAACTGCAGCTGATAATGGCTTTGTTAGCCCCTCAACTATTGAATTGCTTCAGATTGTGATGCACTCTTATAGACAGAAATTGAAGGGGGCAAGAGATTTCAGAATATCACATCTTCAAATATTGGGACAATAGAGCAGATTGAATAGAAGATTTCATAACAACATTAAATAACCGGCAGAAATATCTTGTAACTCCGATATAATACAGGGACTAGAAAATACCTTTTACAAGTTCATGCCCATAGATAGAGGGACAAAAGGATTGAAGTATTTGGCGAAATACATCGGTACCATATCTTTCTCTATATTTGACAGCGATATCAATCCTTTTCAGTACAAGACTGAAAATGACAAATTCCACTAGCCTGAATTTCTGTCTGAAACAGCATGGAACTTCGACTTTCTTACTGAAACTGCCTCCAGGTACAGGTAGTATAAACCCTTATTACTGATTCTGGACTTTCCTGAAGATATTAGTTATAGATCTATTAAATATTCAAACAAAGTGCTCTAAATTAAAAAAAGTGAAAGCTCAAACAATTTGTGTAGAACAAAACAAGTGTCTCTAGTGCTTACTAGCATGTGCATGAAGGACCTGAAGATAAGGACACAACAACTAAACCTAATCACTACTTTGTTTTCTCCATCTCCTCATATTATCAATATTCTTGAGTCTTAAATTCAAGAAACTACAAGAAATAATGGAACACAGGAAATAGGGAATGTTTTAGCAACATAAAGTAATAGAGATGTCCTTATGTTGACAAATACATATAGGTTTCTGTAAGAGTAATATGCATCACATTAAATACTTCTAATGAACTACTTATGCCCAGTCCATAGCGCCCAGAGCTAGACTTCCAAATAAATGAACAAATAAAACAAAAGGTTGACAATGCTATATTACTCTAGATATGGCATAGATAATCCAAGGATCTAAACAGACTAACAACTTTTGACAAATAAATTTATTGTTGAAACAATTAGTGAAGTATTGTCGGGGACCAATATTAGGGTACCCGAAGAGGAGCTAATGACCGTCAACATTGATTTATCCACGCGATCAAGAGCGCGACTACACCGTTTGCTGGGTCACTTTTCGTCCGTCTACCAAGACCATGGGCCCTGCCTCGTCTGACCCTCGAGAGTTGGCTCCGCCTCGGTGGGCGCTGTGGCCGTAGGTCCCGTCTCGCCCAACCCTCGAGGGTTGACGAAACATATGTCGACGGCAGCGATACGGAGGTCGACGGCGAGGGCAGTGCCACGCTGGGCATCCCGTAGGGGTACGAGATGGCCGGGTAGGATGCGGCTGATGACGGCGGCGGAGGGAGTGGTGGTGGCTGTGTGGGCAGCGGCGGCGTGATGGTCAGCTGTCCCTGGAGGAGTGCCCGCAGCGTTACCTGGACCTCCCGCATGCAGTGGCTGAGGTCCACGATTGCCGCCGTTGTCTGCTCCAGCGAGAATACCGGGGCCGGCGCAGCCACCGATCCCAGCGGCAGCGACGGGGTCACCACCACGCCTGAAGTTGCGGGAGGCGCTGTGGTGGTGGAGCGGCGCGGCGGAAATCGCCGGCGAAGGCGCAGTTGTGGAGGCAGCGGGGGAGTCCATGATCGGCAAGGTCTCTGATACCAGGTTGATATGGACAGCAGACTTGCCCCTGACGGATCGTAAGTTATAGTCGTGGGAGACCGGAGGACGAGGCTTGAAGCGCGACGAATAGCGTCGAGGTGCCGTGGTCGCGCGTGTGAAGGAGGGGGAGGCGCGCGACAACAGCACGAGGTGGCTAGGGTTAGGAAATCCCGGCTCCCTTCAGGAAGCCGGAAACAACTCTGTTTCTGCTTCATCCAATCTCAAAGTCTTTACAAGTATTTATACTTCTCTCTAATAATAATCCCTCTAATAATAGGAATAAATAAAATAACTATGGGCTTTTAGCCCCCCCCCCTGGCCGGCAGCCCCTAGCCACTAATGGGCCTCACGCCTTGTATAATGGATGCCGATCGTAACAAGAGCACTGTTGTAGCCACTTTGCATGTACCTCCTCCAACATCCATATAGTTGTTAAGCACTTTCACAATTCCAGTTACTGTTACGATCTCTCCAGGGATGCAACAATCAACGAGGTCTTCTGTAAGCTCACACTCTACGGTCCGTGGCACTTGGCCCTCTTCGTGGTTGTCAGCACTTGCAAGCTCCTGTATTCTGGATGGGAACATAAGAAAAGTAAAGCTTTTAGCACAATACAAGTGGAGGAAAGCTCAGATGAGTTTACTTGTCCCTTGCCTAATTTTCTGGAAATCCACCAGCTGTGCACTAGATCTATCTGGGATAAAGCTCCTGCTCTTGCATCCCTGAATGATACAGGACATTGGAGGAGAAAATTTCCCATCACAGAACATACGGGGGATTTCTTTGCCACACTTCATGCATCGGAATTCCAGCTGCTGAACAAGAGCTTTTACAGGGCTGACTTTGAGCCACAGTACCATGCACTGTGATAAGCTTCTCTACAAAGGGAAACGAAAATCCACACATCAGTAATTATATGCGCACTAATAAAATATAAAACACATGAATAAAGGCAGGAAGTGATTTACTAATAAAGGCTGCTTTTAGTTGCTTTAATGCAATAACCGGCCCCGTGTTGTAAAACCTGATATTGATCTTGTTGAATTTTGCGTTCAAAAAGATCTTGTTGATTTTGCTCGAGCGCAGAGCCTGAAACAATATCAAGAATAAACATACATTGAATGGAAGTAGCATATGGTCCACTACCATACTAGTAAATTATAAGATGAATAGACATCAACCAGATCAGCTGCAACTCCCACGCAAAGCAAGGCTTCTTTTGGGGATTCATTGAGTTTATCTTTAATAAACACACACATCTCCTGAAGCTGCTGGAAATCAATTGGAAGACATATGATGTCAGTGCCATCATCTTCAATCTGTGCACATAGAAGTAAAGCACATGAGCCAAGCGGGGTGAGTTCCTGCATTTACAATATGTACTTTTTCACTATGATCATACAAGAAATCATACAGCACCTAGAAAAAAGCTGCTAAAGAGTTCTGAAATACATAGCACATGTGGTAAACCTTGAAGACCTCAAGTATAATTTACACATAAAAAAAACATGGTAATGTAAGGCAGACAGCCATTAATTGTGCTAGAGGCTCTTATGCTCTCATGCTTTAAGAAATAGAAAACTCCAAAGATATACTTGCTCTGTTAAACTTTTCAGAAGATGTCAATGAGGCTGACTTTGAAACGATTATATTGTCTACAGCACTATCACAAAACTGCAAAGAAGCATTTACTTGAAAAAAAAATGCGTCTCTGTTGTGATGTACTCTACAAATTACAATTCTACAGACAGGTTAGTATTCCAATATCCATGATTTATACCATACTATGCCTTGTGCATTGGCCTTAGAGTAGGCATATCACAAGGGACTTAGGAAGAATGAACTGTACCCCTTTTGTCAGAACAGGCTGCATATTACAAACTCTTGCACAAGCAGATAGGGAACCTTAATCCTAAATTTGGAAAAACAGCACGCATGACCACTAAATCAAGATAATGAGTTGCATAGTTCCTTTGTATTGGTTACTAAATCTGATCAGTTGAATATTGACACTGGAAGTGAGAGCTGCACCTTATACAGGTGATGCACCGTTTGTCATTGTCAAAAAAACCAAAGCTATAGATATTGATATTGGTAATTAGCTTGATGGGAACCAGACCTAAGTGAATGTGTAGGCAGAGCACTTGGTGATTAATTGCTTACTCAAGACTGCACTTCTTGTTAGCAATACTACTGTGTCAAGCTTATCAAGTTTGCCTGTGAAAGCTCTAGTTCCAGAGATTAATCATGAGCTCACCGGAGATCTAAGGCAGCAAAAAGTGTGGTGATGCTATAGCTGATTGCTTCATATTGGTGCTTATCTGGTGGAAACAATTTTACTAAAGTAGTCAAGTAAAGTGGGTTGAGCTACAAGTTATCAGCATACATAGTTCAGTTAAACCTGAAAGGTTGCAGCAAATAAAAGAATTGCAGGGATGGCCACATGAAGATCAGACCAAGTTTAAAGTGGAACTCATATAACAAACAAGCACCAATTGTCTAGTTCTGAAAACATCCAACCATAGCTAGGTCCGTATGAGTGACGGTCTCAACAACTGGTTCATGTTCTGCCTACAATTAAACGGGATCCTGGTAGTGACACACATGCTATATTCAAAATGTTGGTTCATGAAATTTTGAGTCGCTTTTTGGACTTTTTTGATTGCTACTGCAGCAATACACCTTCCTAGTTATGGATGACTGGTGTTCATCAGTGATAGGCCATTGCTCTGGGATCCCAGTGAAGTTGTAAGTTGTATCCATCTTAAAAATTCCACTATAAGATGGTGTGTGTGTGTGTGTGTGTGTGGGGAGATGTAGGGAACCTGTGTACATGGCAGTGGGTCATTGGGCTTGCCAGGAGGAACTACAGGGAAACAGCAGCACGATAAGGCATCAGTCGACTGAAACAGAAGTGAATCATTCCCTTTTACTATTCTTCTTTGACCTCTAGAACTCTTCATCCTCCTCTGAATTCCCCTCATGTATCTCTGCTAGTCTCTAGTCCTGTACTTTCTCCCTGTAGCCTCCTGCGGTTGGCCCGGTACTACATCTAGTGCTTGGTGTTTTGCTTCTAATGGAGTTGGACGCTAACACATGGTCCTAACTATGATTAACCATATTAAATACCTGGCACTAGTTACCTTTTTTAAGACACTAGAAAGTTAAAGTAAATGAACACTAAGCATCGATCCTGCAAACTTCTGAACAAGTGTTTGTGATGCAACTTTGATAACATTCCCGAGAGCGAGCAAACCCCCAATGCGCGAAAACCCTCCTCGTTTCACCGGTACACATACCACAACAAATACCACCGTCCATATATGATCCAAAATTATGAAATCTCGACCATTCTCTAGTAACCAACACAGAATGCCACCAACTAAATCACACACGAAACAGGAGATGAAGGCGCGTGTATTTACCCGTGAGAAAAGGACTTCCGCCACCTCGAGCGTGGAGAAGGATTCAGCCAAGGCGGTGGCGAGGCGGACCTTATGGTCGGACTCCGATAGCCCGACCTCGGCCTCCTCGGGAAAGTATGTCGGCCAGGCATCCGCGAGCCTTTTGAAGATGTCGTCGTCCCCTGTGCGCCCTTTGGGTTGATGACCCTTCATTGTGTCGGCATACATGTCACCGCCTCACCGGAAATCTCAGAGGCCAGAGCCTCGCCTCTCCGGCGAGTTGCCGCGGGCAGGGGGCGAGACTTGAGGGGGGCAGGGGGCGGGCGGGCCGAGCTGCCGAGCAAAATTTCCCCGCGGGGTTTTTGCGCGGTGGCCATGGGAAAAACGCTGGAGAAAGGAGAAAGTGTTCATTCCAGCCGCGGCGCCTCGATGTCAGTGGCAGACAGGTGGGGCCCAAGTCCGGCTGTAACACACGACAGATCAAAACCCTAGATGGGCCACAGTGCTCCGCTCATTCGGGCCGCCATGCCCAATTTTAGCATGCCGTCACTTGTACAGACAAAAAACTGGCTTAATCTAGCCCAGACAAAAAGCGGGCTTGATCTAGCCTAGACAAAGTAGTTTTGATTTGGCCCACGTTTGTTCTCGTGTGGATAATGTACTTGTTAAAAATTCACCGATTAGAGAATTGATGGACTCATACCATATATGCTTTAATGGGCTCATACCATTATAATGGACTAATGAAGAGATGCTCCCCTCGTATACTTGTCTCCCATTTGTTCCTGTAGGTTGTTTTTGAGGATCGGAGAGGGAGACGGGATCTATTTACAACTTTTTTGCGTCTTTTTCTTGGGATCGAGAACAGAAAAACGGATCTGCCAATCCGCGAATAAGCCGATTCTTAACACGTTATCAGCAGCTCTACCGCTAGGTGAGTTGTTCTTGATCGTTGTGTTTAGATCAATTTGTATTTGCCATGATTAATGACAATTTGATCTCTTTGCCCATCGATCTCTGATGCCGGCTCCGTTGGAGCGCCGTCCGCACTGAGCGAATCAACGGACGCGTGATGGTGCGAGATCAGACACCGTTTCAATCATGCGTTGTGGTTGGATCAGATCGATGTCATGAACAGGCACGAGATGGATCACGTGCATATCCGGTGTTCCTGCCTTCCTAGAGACCTGAGGTCTTGTCAACAAGCCATGTACGGTTTGTCTTCATTATTTTCTAGTTAATCATTCTCTACTAGATTTAATCCTGTAGATTGATGCTAGTAGATTTTTTTTCACGTACGAGGACAAGGCAAGCGGATGTGTGTGTTTTTATTTGCTCTGGATCTATTTGATTTTGCTAATCATAGATTGTTTTTTTTTCTCTTGACTTGATATGACTCGGCGTCAAATCAATTTGGCAACATGTGAGCCTTGGTGGATTGTTTTTTTTTTCTCTTGACTTGATATGACTCAGCGTCAAATCAATTTGGCAACATGTGAGCCTTGGTGTTCCATCCATGCGCTCACGGCCAGTGTGGCCATCCCCGCCGTCAGGTGCCTGCGCCAAGCCGTGGATCCGATCTACGTCGATCCTGTGTACTACACGATGTGATCCCGCGTCATGCACGCGTAGGAAGAAATCTTGGTCTCCAGCGCCGCCGGCCGATCTCTGTGGGCTTTAATTAGCCCTAAGCGTCATGGTCGGAGGCATACACATCACCGGGTCGATCTGGTCATGTTGCCCGCCGCGACATGTATCCTCGTCATCAAGCGGACAGACCTAGGACAATACCAAACGGTATGTATCTGCTAATCATTTTTCTACACCGTATATGACGTAGATCAAATTAGCATCCTCTACGAGGTATGAATAAATAGCATATCGAAGAACGCATTTGTCTTGACCACCAAAGTTGGACAATTATTAGTCAGTCGCAGACTAATTTTCTTTATGAGCTATAATTGATGTTTCTATTTATTAAAACTGAGACGTGGACTCGTCGCCAGCTGTCGGCCTTGCCAGAAGCACATGTGGCTTGACGTGGGTATATGTGTTGATGTCAAAAACACATGAGTCGTCAATGAGAAATTGCTTCACTTTCGTAGAAGCGTCATGACTAGTTTTCGAGAAAACTAGTAAAGGGATAAATTCTTCGATTACGGCGAAGAGAAGAACCAGCTGTTTTACTAGCAAGAACAGCAAAGGAAGATACTCCGATGACGCTGGAGCACGCGGCTTGTTTGCGAGAAACTAGCAAAGCATGGCTACCGATCTAGATGCGAAAAAGTAGAAGAAAAGTAAAAAAACGATAATAATAGATTTATTTTGCGTCGATTCTGTAGACTTTTCCAATGGTGCATCACCTTTAAATAGGCGGCTGGTCTTTGTCGTAGAGTATTAGGGGCCTTTGCCGTAGAGTATTAGGACTCTTTTATAAACAGATACATACTAATACTACTAGTGCATATTACATCAATAATAGATTTGTTTTGTGTCGATTGTATAGAGACTTTTCCAATCGTCCATCACCTTTAAATAGGCGGCTGGTCTTTGCCGTAGAGTATTAGTGGTCTTTGCCGTAGGGTATTAGGACTCTTACATAAACAGATACATACTAGTACTACTAATGCATATTACATCAAATAAAATAAAATAATAATATCTCTTGTAGTCCTGCCTGATTCGTTTCCTTGATCCGTTTGGCCCTGCATGGTTGCACCTGGTACATACGACACAAATAGAAACTGCATCCTTTAGCTAAAGGATTAATCCGTGAAAAGCCTTTGCATGATCTCCTTTTCCGGTTTTTCTATATTGCTTTCTTTTCTTCACACGTGCACTCCAACAGGCATCAAATAAACTGGCGTCCGACCTCCATGTCGTGCATATTCTTGATCTGTAGCATGCCAACTAATTGAGACTAATTATGAATAACCTATATAATTTTGCCAATCATACTCTCCAGCCAAATTACACTATCAACACATGCCCCCTGTTGTTTTTGGTACAATTGCATTTACCGAAACACTGTAGCAATCGGTATTGTACCTTAAGACATGTCAATCGTTTCACCAGCCACACCCACCTCTTAGGGCAATGTCTCCATAATAAATCGGCCAAATATTTTGCTTAGGACCATATGGCCATAATACAATCGGCCAAATATTTTCCTCAGCCCGATATTTAATCAACATATCGGCCATAATACTATCAGGCAGCTTGCCAGACACTAGGATATCACTTATTCACCTGGAGATATGTTCCTATACACCGTATATGTCTCTCTCTTCGTGGCAGACAATAAGATCCTGAAGCCGCTGAAAGCTGCATGCACATGATGCAAGCACGAGCACTTAAACCAATAATCCAATACTGATCTTGTTTATATCTATTTTACCCTTCGTCTCGTGCTTTTGTTAACTGATCAATCCATTGTTCACTTAATCGGCAAAGGGCTATGAACACAATTAATTATATAGCAGCCGAATTAATCAAAATAATGCGCAAAGGATTAGCCTAACAAGATTGTCAAATTTGGCTATTAACAATTGAAAATAAAATACGACCTGAGCCAAATTTGAGTGCCAAAAAATAAGCATCCTTCACTCTAAGGACGATGTCAACACATTCATCCACCATATTTATATTTTTGTGCTAAGGATGATCACAGAATATCGGCCATACTTATAATTGTTCTAAGTATGATAACAATTTACCAGCCATATGTTTGTTCTCAGGGCGACAACAATTATATCGGCCAAGCTCATATTTTTTAATGATGACAAAAAAAATACTAGTCCTAAGTATTTTTCTAAGGACGATAGTTAAAATATCGACCAAACCATTTATTTTGTAAATAGGCCAAAAGAAACTAAACAGCTGAATTGCATAATAAACAAACCAACACTAATTACTCGGCCATATTGACTGATATGTAGTTTGAAGAACTAGTAGCCGAGCGAACCTATAACAAAAGAGCCACACTAAAAACTGCTCAGCTAATAGCATTTTTACATGATGGCAAATATACGGGTGAAATATCACTATATCCTCATAAATATGTATAGCCGAAATAAATAAATGCTAGAAATAACTTTAACCCCTAAATATTTCGGCTTTTAGTTTGATAGCAATAATCAGTCAAACATGTATCCCTCCATGACATAGCGACTGCACCCAAGGATCATAGTCAGACCATGAAGGATAACCAAACATACCTTTGTACGGACTCCATGGCATTGGTGTTAATGGCGTGGCTAATGAGCATAGATGATGCGATGGCCAAAGACCTTGATGATTGGAAGTAAACTTCGGATAACATAAACGTCTCCTAGCCCCTTCTTTATCCTTGTCGACACCATAAGTCCATTATCTTTATCAATATGAATCCGCACCGTTCCTTTTGGAACCCATGCCATATTCTTGTTTTTCAGCTATTGTGCACTGAGCCTTTGCAATTTCTTCTCTTGCCAACTTGATAAGCCGAGTGGGCATCTCGGCTGTGATTTTGATTTAAGCAGTGGCAATTCTTTCTTGATCTCGGATCCTGTTGCTTCCATTAGAATAGATGCTCGATCATCATCCATATCTCGTATTTGAATTATTCCTTTGGGAACCCACGGCGCATTCATCTCCTTTAACTCTTGTTCACTAAGCTTTTGCAACCTTCGCTTTTGTGAATGTGAAAGCCTGAGTGGACACCATCTCGGCTGTGGTTTTGTATCAGACAACAAGGATAATTTCGGGACAATCTTTTTTATACCAGAATCAATATGCTCGCTGTTGTGCTGCTAACTAGTTGCGCCCCGTCTGTTGCCACGGCCGTGCGCATCCGTACATATGATCCTATAGTGGCCTGCGGCTGCATGGCTTCGTCGTGTCTCTACCAACGGGTACAAGCACTTGCAAACATTTTCATGGTGGCCTACATTGTTCCTGAGAGCTCGCAAACTTGTGCGCGCAGCCTGAAGCCACTAACATACATAAGAGCAGTATACCGTCTTATGGATTTTCTGTTGTGACGCGCTCGCTCGTTGTTGAGCCGCCGCTTTTCGTATAAGCACATCATATACTTCCAGATAGAAATGTTACAGGAATACTAGCCATAGATCTAGCATACCTACTTACATTTGATGAAGTATAAACTCTAAAACATGTGCTAGTACGGAATTAACAAAGAGAGAGAGCGGAAGCGGGTAGTAAACCATCGGCCGCCTTTGCAGAAGACG